GGTGTTCTTCTCCTCCTCATCGCCTTTTTCTGCTCCGGCAGAGGGGGGCTGGACCGACCTCTTTCTTGCAAGCCTGCTGGTGCTTCACACTCGCCTCAGTTGGCTTCATCTCCCAATGACCAGCGATGAGATTACACTCGTACCGAAGAGGGTCAGCTGGAGCTTGAATTCCAACTGTCACGCCCATTTTCCCATCCTCACACATGCCTGCCACGACCTCATCCGTCTCCAACATGTAGGCATCGTGGACAGGTGGCTCAGGCGTGTCAACCTCCATGTCAGCAGGCTCTTGCTCCTTCACCTCCTGGTCTTCGGACAAAGATGCTGTCACACCACCATCCAGGCATGCTGGAGCTTCGCCACCATCACCTGCCAATGGCATTGAACAAACATTGTTTTTAGCCCTTTTGTGGTGAATTTCAAGAGGTTAATTGGCAAAACGCACACACAAAAAAAGACACACAGACATTTAAATACAGTATTTAAGATCTTGCCAGGTCACCTTGCTCGAAATCAATCAAGAGGGATCGCTTCAAAGCAGTGCACCCATATTCCGCAGGCCCAGTCTCATGCTGGGTCTCATCTTCAATCTCAACAAATTCCATGGATTTTGCAACTGCTTCAGAGACAATTGGCTCCAGTGGCTGGGTCTCAGCATAATCAGAAACAGCTTTGGAGGCAGCACGTTTTGCAAGTAGCAACCTGGGCTGCAATGCCAGGACTGACTTTTAAACCAAATGAACTCCAAAGATTCTAGGACCAGACCTGTTGGAAACCAGAAAACATAAGGGATATAGATGTGCAATCAAAATACTGCAAGTTCCGAATTCTCGCTTCAATCTTGCTAATGTCCTCAAAGCCCTTCTTAGCCTTGACCACATGGCCTTGAACAGGTTGACTTTCACCATCAGCTGCATGATGTCCAGATTCCTGCTTGGCCTTGACATCCTCTTCCACACAGGGCTCAGCCTTGACCGCCTGCAAAGGGGCACAAAAGGAAAAGTTCAGAAGACCTCGAATTAAGATCTATTCATTGTTGCTATGCTAGACCCCCTCCAAAATATGAACAAGCATGTTTTATCATGTTTCGATGTTCCAATGTTTTCCAAACCTGCCTGAACCTTCATCACCGGTGTCTCACATGCAAATCCTTTGCAAGGCGAACATCCCTGATATGGGTCTTCCTTTACCACAACCATGAAGTCAGTGAAGTCGCTGCTCTCGTCATCAGAGTCCAAGATGCACTCCACAACTTGGCCAGGGCGTAGGCGCACATTCCAGAACTTGAAAAGCTCTTCATAGAAGCTACTGACACCCTGTTCCTGGCCAGAACTCTAACAGCAGTCTTGGGGGACAATGAAAATAAGAATGTCAGCAGTCCAACATGGGAGGGTTGGAGAGCAAGCAAAAGACAAAACATGTATAGCCAAAAATACTATAAATATAGCCGAATCTCTTTCCGGATAGGGCTCTTGATCAAGTCCTTGTCCGCCCCGCTCTTCCTGACTCCGTAGCTAAAGAACTTCTTCAACCCCCAAGCGTCATGCTGTAGATCAACAAGGTTCATTGGCAGCTGCACCATGGTTCTAAGATTGGCGACCTGTCATGTCAAGATAGGTGGATGGTGCACGCATATTTGTTTTGTAAACACATAACCTTTTTTATTGCTTTCAACATCAGAGGATGTAAGCGGTTTGGTGTTGTTTGTGTTGTACATATTTTGACTGACAAGGGCCTCCTTCCGCAGTTCTTGAACAGTAGGAGATTTGGCCTTCTTCTGCGTTGGGCACCACCAAGAGGCTAGGATCGTGAGAGCATGCACGTTCAAGGCGATTCCAGCCATAGTAGGCTTCCCGGTCAACTCTGGCTTGGGCCATTGAACTAGCCGCCCAGATTCACGAAGTCGATTTCTGACATAACGGTTATCTTCCCACATCTCAGCTAGGCTTTTCGCACCCTCCTTCTCCACATCCACCGGTGGTTCCGCCTTTGGCTGATCGCCAGGCATGGCTGGCAAGTGAGATGAACGCGGGTCTGAGATCCTTCGTAAAAAGTTTCTGCAGGAGATACACTGAATCGAAGCTAGAAGAGGTGCACTGGCTTGCTGGAAAGACTACTTCAATTAATCGTGGCAGGCGCACCATATGATTCCAGCATTGATGCACTCACCGCCATGCACCTACAGAGCTGTTTTGTCACCAAGAGAAGAGCTATGCAGTTTTCTGGCTAGCCGCTAAAGCTTACTGACCTGTTTGATTTGCAACCGGCCATTTGCGCAACAAAGCAGCACGAAACTTACCGCTCTTTTTGTGTAAGGCATCTTCAACTGACTTTAAATTCCAGCTTTCAATCATGTCTCTTCCACTATGTCTTCTGTGGCCCGGGCCAGAAGCTCTGTGAGCCGAAGCTCTTTTCATATCCATGGTCCATGGGTGAAAGAAATACAAGTAAGACTTTGTAAATGCTGTTTCGAAGCAGTCATGCATAATGAACTTGAGTCAATTACAACTTTATTAAGTTGATTGATGAACCATGGATTCTACTAGCACACATGCCGCATGCCACTGACTTCTAATCCTTAGTTGAGCGAGCTCCTGTGCTGCAAAATCGGCTGATCCACGGGAGGCACTGGATTGGGAGTGGATTTGGCGGCAATAATGATCAGATTTCTTCAAATGATAGATATTCCAAAATCAGCCCCTGAGCAAAAATTCTGGACCTTAGATGCCAGAGGCACTTCTATGCCTCAGAGGCAACTTAAATGCAGGTGGTGGAAGACCTAGGTACTAACATCACACACACACACACACACGCAAAACACACACACACACACACTTCATCGACTTCACAGTCCTGGCAGAGGTTTTGGAGGCGCGGGCGGGCGTGGGCACTGGATCTAGGACTGGATTTGCATGGGGAAGAGGATGTCAGTCAGTTGGAGTTTTGCTTGAGTTTTCGGGCTCGAGTTTGCAAAAAAAATAAGAAGTCATGCCTCACCTGCTCACTCTCCACACCACTAAAAAACACTGCCCAATTTCGAGGTCGGGAAGTTTTGAAGTTCTTTTAGTTGTGCCCCCCCATGAAGCGGCCCTCCAGCCATGATGAGTGCCCAACAACACCTACGGACCGCGTTCGGCCAAGCGTGTTCCCTAGCCCCAAAGCCTCTCAGAGACGGACCATTCAGCCAGATCTTGTGGACGGAAAAGATCCTTGGAACTTGAAGTAGTGATGGTTTGGTTGTTTTCCCTTTCACACCCAACCTGACTGGTTCTTTCCTGGCCAGATCGTTTTTGGGCCTAGTTCGCCGAACTAGGATTTGAGGCCTGGCGGCCTTGAAAGTGGATTGTTGGGGCTTTATTAGGTTGTAGCTCGGCAAACTACGCTGGGAAAAATTGGTTTTGGCTAG